ACAGTGCGTCCTTGCTGTCAACCAACAACATGATTGTTTTCAGCAAAACAAGGCTTATCTAATAACAACACACGATGTAGGGCAATGAAATTAATTTCAACTATTGCACTTAGGCTTTAGTACACTAGAAAACGGTCCGGCTTGTTTAGTATATGAATTATGATTATACTAGGGCTGAAACGATCGTGGATTTTCACATATCGATTACTCTTTAGCTTAACGATCGAGTAATCGATTATAATCGTTAGCAAATAGAGTCATTATTCTGTGCAAACACTACTCTGTTTCCACAAACTATGCCTTCATAATACCAACAGATTACGCCATTAGTGAAAGGGTAGCTCCGAAACATGGCAGTTTTGAAGTCAATATTTAACCTCAGAACATGAACCATACCCCTGGCAACTGCATACTCCCAGCGGAAACTGATTCAAACTTCGCAAAACGAGGGTTTACAGTACTTTCTGGACACAAATAAAAAGCAAAATAATCGTAATCGGTAATCTAAACGATTGCTCGATCGTTAGAGTTATCAAACGAGTACTCGATTATTCGGTATAATTATAATAATCGTTTCAGCCCTAGATAGTAGATTATACCCGCTCGCAAGATCTTACTGTTCCAGCGTTACTGTTACAGCGACGGGTGTTGCCAACACCGTTCGAGGACCGCGCCCACCACACAGGCCGTCGCATTGTGGTCTATTCTAGTATCGACACTTCTTGTGGAGATAAGTGCAGCTCAGGCCGCTGGGCAGGCAGCTAGCTAGGGATAAGCAAGGCCAAGGGTCGCTTCCAAGCCGATCGCATCATTTGTTCTTTTGTTGACGACTCGACTGATCATGGCAGCGTGGAAAGAGCGGAGAGCCACAGCGCTGGTAAGCCGGTAGCTAAGCCATGGCATGGCTCTCATTGCCGAAGTACATAGTCATTGTACAATGTAATAGAAACCCTACACCATGATCATGATGATCATCACCAACACAAGTGGTCTCCTTACTGCAACTCCGTACGAATTCAATATCAATAAATATTATTAAAATTGCAACGTTGAGCCAAGGATAATGATCATCAGGATTGAAGGGAAACTGGTCGGGACTGGTCCTACTTCATGTAGATCACACAACACAACGGGACAGTTGAAGGTGGAATGAACTATGCCAATAGGATTATGGTATTTCCTCAAACAGAATAATAAAAGAAGGTCCATGCCCTCTTAGACGACCTTGCTAGTTTAAGTGTAGTACCCCCCCCCCTCCCCCTCTCCCCCACGCACACGAGTCTTGTACGTGTACTGCCTATACTGGTGGTATGGTGTTGACCCGTCCGCACGAAAGCAAACCCTATGAAACGTACATGACACTATACACTCAACAACAAAGGCAGACGAGAACAGAGACAACTGGCTAGGTCATTGTTGTAACGCTGCGTTTCATGCACATCGCAAAGCTAAGGCAAAAAGTGTCCAAGGATTGCCTTAGCTTTGCGATGTGCATGAAACGCAGCGTTACAACAATGACCTAGCCGGTTGTCTCTGTTCTCTTCTGCCTTTGTGGTATTGCTCCATTCTTGTGGTGTTGAGCACTCTAGCAATCTGGGAACTCTCGCTATTGTGACATGGTACACTTGTGTATGCCACACTACAATAATGTATAGGGTTATGGTCAACGACCGTCGTTAGAAACCATAAGCCCCGAGTCACAACAAAATTCCAATATATGAATTGGATCTCTCCTCACATGTGTATATTGTGTACTTGAAGTATGTGTCTGTGTGCTTGACTGGTCTGCTGTAGCTACTAGCCTTCGTCTTACTGGACACGAGCAGCTATGCCATTGCAGCTCCAGGCGGCAGGCCAAACTTTATTCACTTGATGATGGACGACTGGGGATGGGGTGATGTTGGAGTCTACAAGTCTCCAGGCGGTGGATATACTCGTGTACAGACACCCAACATTGACAGTTTGGCCAGAAGTGGAAAAATGTTCACAGGTACATGTATGTCTTCTCGCGATGAGACCTTTTAGGTTGAAACAGCAGCCTCAAGGATCGACATAAGAATTGGGAGGGGTTGAGTTGCTGGTTGAAGTTGCTGAATGCTGTTGGTCAGACTGGGGGTAAATTATTAGAATAATCAATATCCAGCCGGCTGAACTAACTGGCATCCCATGTGTCTGGCTGGCACAGTGACACAAACATTGGATTGACCACTCTGTTCTTGGAGACGAAGATACTTGTAGATCAGTGAAAAATGATACCCAGGGTAGAATCACATAACATGTTTTTATAGCGCTGATGATGATGGTGATGATGTGCTTTCCTTATGTGGAGTGTTCTACTGTCAGTGTTCGTATTCTTGCCGACGATTTTGTTTGTATGGTGTGGTGTGGTGTGGTGCGTGTGTGTGTGTGTGTGTGTGTATGGTGTGTATGATGATAGATTATCACTCAACCAGTCCAGTCTGCTCTCCTAGTCGAGCTGGGATCATGACGGGCCGCTTCCCGGGAGAAATTGGTATCCACTCAGCCCTAAGCCCATCCAGCCAGAAAAACAGAGAGGAGGGAAACGTGGACTTTCTGGATCCCAGCCTACCGTCCGTGTCAGCCACCTTACAGCAACATGGCTATGTGGTTGGACACTTTGGAAAGTGGCATCTTGGATCAACTGAAACACCAGTGGCTGCACCTCTTCCATCTGCGTATGGTATCAACAGCTCGTTCACATTTGATTCCCGCGATCCGAATCAATTCAATACATCAGCACAAGAATGGCCCTCAATGTCAAGTGGGATGATTGTTGATAAGGCTGTTGAGTTCATGACGGACGCCACGCACAAGAAGCTACCATTTTATATGAACGTCTGGCTTCATGTATCCCATGCTAAACTTGACCCGACACGCCAGCAGATGGAGAAATACTTGCCAGTGAGTAATGTATGCCCAACACCATCCACAAACGAGACAACTTGCCCGCATCTCATCTTCTGGGCATCGCAAACGAATGCAGATGAGCAAGTAGGCAGGTTGGTGGACAGTCTGCATAGCCTTGATCTGGTGAAGGATACACTGCTCGTTTTCACAACTGATAACGGTCCAGAGGACCCTGCCGTTTACATGAATGCTGTTGGTTCGGCGGGACCATTCCGCGGACAGAAACGCTCGCTGTACGAAGGTGGACATCGACTGCCATTCATTGCACACATGCCCGGGACAATCCCGTCAAATGTGGTCGACCACTCCGTGATAAGCGGCGCTGACTGGTTTCCAACAGTTGCAACAATGGCTGGAGTGGAGCTGCCAGCAAGTGTGACAAGCAGTTTATCCGGAGTAGATATCTCTCATGTACTGGTGTCCAATGCCACTGTAACCACCAGGTCTGCACCTCTCCTCTGGGACTGGCAAATCAACGTGACCGGACCATGCTGGAACCGAGCACCTAACATGGCCATCAGAGTTGGGCCGTATAAACTATTACAGAATCCGGATCTGTCACGTGTCGAACTCTATAACCTCGATGCAGTCACAGCAGACCATAAAGGCGAGTATTTTGAAGCTCAGAATGTAGCAGACGATTTGGATATGCAGGCAACTCGCACTCGGCTTAGTGCAACTGCGATGGGCTGGTGGAACAAGCTGCCAAACACAACAACACATTACATGACCGGGTGTGAAGCATTTCCCCTGCCAGTGGAAGGAAACTGACCCAGGAATTAAATCACACACCTTTATTATCTCTTCATAAAATTGTAATTTATTAGTATACAAAGAGTCGAAGTCGCTGCCACTATTTCATACCAAAGAGTCGTATACTTTTTTTAATCATTTGCAGATACAGCACACAACCCTTTTCTTATCACCTTACCTGCTGTGACTCCCCGCATTCAAACCTAGACTGTATACTGCCAATGAGTGTGGTCTGTGAAACCCAGTACCCGATGTCTTTCCAATCCGACTTCATTCCAGGCTGCCTAGAATCAAAAGGAAAGATTGGAAAGGCGTCACATTAGGCTGGCTACTCAGTGGTGCTAGTTTTGCATGCTGAGCAGGAAGTATAGGGCACTGCACAGCCAACAAGCATGAGTACTTGTTTCTCTTGATACCAGATACAATTATTTTACTGATCTGTGGGCACATGACATTCGCCATAGCAAAATAAGTTGATGTCCGAGAAAGATGGCATCTTTCTCGGACATCAACTATTACATTAGGAACATGATACATGTATGTCCCAAGGGCCGGGAGCCTATGTACTTTGTTGTATTGGTGGACGACATCTAAAATCGGGTGATCGTCACGGTACTCGACCCAGTGTGATTATCAGTTTGGACTGGATTGGCACTGTCCAACAAAAAGCCTCGTATTCTATATAGTATGAGGTCTCATGAGGTAGTGTGCCAAACGGCGTTTACTTGGAGCTTCAGTACATCACCCTCTCTGAAAGAGACCTTTCCTGACTGAGGACAAGCCGGTACATGCCCATGATAAGCTAATTGTATAGGGTGTTTCCGAACACACAGTGCGTCCTTGCTGTCAACCAACAACATGATTGTTTTCAGCAAAACAAGGCTTATCTAATAACAACACACGATGTAGGGCAATGAAATTAATTTCAACTATTGCACTTAGGCTTTAGTACACTAGAAAACGGTCCGGCTTGTTTAGTATATGAATTATGATTATACTAGGGCTGAAACGATCGTGGATTTTCACATATCGATTACTCTTTAGCTTAACGATCGAGTAATCGATTATAATCGTTAGCAAATAGAGTCATTATTCTGTGCAAACACTACTCTGTTTCCACAAACTATGCCTTCATAATACCAACAGATTACGCCATTAGTGAAAGGGTAGCTCCGAAACATGGCAGTTTTGAAGTCAATATTTAACCTCAGAACATGAACCATACCCCTGGCAACTGCATACTCCCAGCGGAAACTGATTCAAACTTCGCAAAACGAGGGTTTACAGTACTTTCTGGACACAAATAAAAAGCAAAATAATCGTAATCGGTAATCTAAACGATTGCTCGATCGTTAGAGTTATCAAACGAGTACTCGATTATTCGGTATAATTATAATAATCGTTTCAGCCCTAGATAGTAGATTATACCCGCTCGAAAGATCTTACTGTTCCAGCGTTACTGTTACAGCGACGGGTGTTGCCAACACCGTTCGAGGACCGCGCCCACCACACAGGCCGTCGCATTGTGGTCTATTCTAGTATCGACACTTCTTGTGGAGATAAGTGCAGCTCAGGCCGCTGGGCAGGCAGCTAGCTAGGGATAAGCAAGGCCAAGGGTCGCTTCCAAGCCGATCGCATCATTTGTTCTTTTGTTGACGACTCGACTGATCATGGCAGCGTGGAAAGAGCGGAGAGCCACAGCGCTGGTAAGCCGGTAGCTAAGCCATGGCATGGCTCTCATTGCCGAAGTACATAGTCATTGTACAATGTAATAGAAACCCTACACCATGATCATGATGATCATCACCAACACAAGTGGTCTCCTTACTGCAACTCCGTACGAATTCAATATCAATAAATATTATTAAAATTGCAACGTTGAGCCAAGGATAATGATCATCAGGATTGAAGGGAAACTGGTCGGGACTGGTCCTACTTCATGTAGATCACACAACACAACGGGACAGTTGAAGGTGGAATGAACTATGCCAATAGGATTATGGTATTTCCTCAAACAGAATAATAAAAGAAGGTCCATGCCCTCTTAGACGACCTTGCTAGTTTAAGTGTAGTACCTCCCCCTCTCCCCCACGCACACGAGTCTTGTACGTGTACTGCCTATACTGGTGGTATGGTGTTGACCGTCCGCACGAAAGCAAACCCTATGAAACGTACATGACACTATACACTCAACAACAAAGGCAGACGAGAACAGAGACAACTGGCTAGGTCATTGTTGTAACGCTGCGTTTCATGCACATCGCAAAGCTAAGGCAAAAAGTGTCCAAGGATTGCCTTAGCTTTGCGATGTGCATGAAACGCAGCGTTACAACAATGACCTAGCCGGTTGTCTCTGTTCTCTTCTGCCTTTGTGGTATTGCTCCATTCTTGTGGTGTTGAGCACTCTAGGCAATCTGGGAACTCTCGCTATTGTGACATGGTACACTTGTGTATGCCACACTACAATAATGTATAGGGTTATGGTCAACGACCGTCGTTAGAAACCATAAGCCCCGAGTCACAACAAAATTCCAATATATGAATTGGATCTCTCCTCACATGTGTATATTGTGTACTTGAAGTATGTGTCTGTGTGCTTGACTGGTCTGCTGTAGCTACTAGCCTTCGTCTTACTGGACACGAGCAGCTATGCCATGGCAGCTCCAGGCGGCAGGCCAAACTTTATTCACTTGATGATGGACGACTGGGGATGGGGTGATGTTGGAGTCTACAAGTCTCCAGGCGGTGGATATACTCGTGTACAGACACCCAACATTGACAGTTTGGCCAGAAGTGGAAAAATGTTCACAGGTATGTCTTCTCGCGATGAGACCTTTTAGGTTGAAACAGCAGCCTCAAGGATCGACATAAGAATTGGGAGGGGTTGAGTTGCTGGTTGAAGTTGCTGAATGCTGTTGGTCAGACTGGGGATATATTATTAGAATAATCAATATCCAGCCGGCTGAACTAACTGGCATCCCATGTGTCTGGCTGGCACAGTGACACAAACATTGGATTGACCACTCTGTTCTTGGAGACGAAGATACTTGTAGATCAGTGAAAAATGATACCCAGGGTAGAATCACATAACATGTTTTTATAGCGCTGATGATGATGGTGATGATGTGCTTTCCTTATGTGGAGTGTTCTACTGTCAGTGTTCGTATTCTTGCCGACGATTTTGTTTGTATGGTGTGGTGTGGTGCGTGTGTGTGTGTGCGTGTGTGTGTGTGTGTGTGTATGGTGTGTATGATGATAGATTATCACTCAACCAGTCCAGTCTGCTCTCCTAGTCGAGCTGGGATCATGACGGGCCGCTTCCCGGGAGAAATTGGTATCCACTCAGCCCTAAGCCCATCCAGCCAGAAAAACAGAGAGGAGGGAAACGTGGACTTTCTGGATCCCAGCCTACCGTCCGTGTCAGCCACCTTACAGCAACATGGCTATGTGGTTGGACACTTTGGAAAGTGGCATCTTGGATCAACTGAAACACCAGTGGCTGCACCTCTTCCATCTGCGTATGGTATCAACAGCTCGTTCACATTTGATTCCCGCGATCCGAATCAATTCAATACATCAGCACAAGAATGGCCCTCAATGTCAAGTGGGATGATTGTTGATAAGGCTGTTGAGTTCATGACGGACGCCACGCACAAGAAGCTACCATTTTACATGAACGTCTGGCTTCATGTATCCCATGCTAAACTTGACCCGACACGCCAGCAGATGGAGAAATACTTGCCGGTGAGTAAAGTGTGCCGCTTACCGTCCACAAACGAGACAACTTGCCCGCATCTCATCTTCTGGGCATCGCAAACGAATGCAGATGAGCAAGTAGGCAGGTTGGTGGACAGTCTGCATAGCCTTGATCTGGTGAAGGATACACTGCTCGTTTTCACAACTGATAACGGTCCAGAGGACCCTGCCGTTTACATGAATGCTGTTGGTTCGGCGGGACCATTCCGCGGACAGAAACGCTCGCTGTACGAAGGTGGACATCGACTGCCATTCATTGCACACATGCCCGGGACAATCCCGTCAAATGTGGTCGACCACTCTGTGATAAGTGGCGCTGACTGGTTTCCAACAGTTGCGACGATGGCCGGAGTGGAGCTGCCGGCAAGTGTGACAAGCAGTCTATCTGGAGTAGACATCTCTCATGTACTGGTGTCCAATGCGACTGTCACTACCAGGTCTGCACCTCTCCTTTGGGACTGGCAAATCAACGTGACCGGACCATGCTGGAACCGAGCACCTAACATGGCCATCAGAGTTGGGCCGTACAAACTATTACAGAATCCGGATTTGTCACGTGTCGAACTCTATAACCTCGATGCAGTTACAGCAGACCATAAAGGCGAGTATTTTGAAGCTCAGAATGTAGCAGACGATTTGGATATGCAGGCAACTCGCACTCGGCTTAGTGCAACTGCGATGGGCTGGTGGAACAAGCTGCCAAACACAACTACACATTACATGACCGGGTGTGAAGCATTTCCCCTGCCAGTGGAAGGAAACTGACACAAGACATCTTAGACTTCATTCACACAACAAATCATAGTACTTTTTAAAGTATACTACAGTACCTTTACTGACAGATACAGCACAAAACACTGGGTCTTTTCGTATTCCTGACTATCCCCCACAAAATCCACGTTATTTCTTTCCGATCTTCATTCCAGGCTGACTCAGTAGTGCTAGTCTTGCATGCCGAGCAAGTAGTTCAGGATATTGTACAGGCAATAGGCACGAGTTGGACTTGGTGTTTCTCTTCATGCTACCAGATACAGTAGAACGCCGATTAGCCGGACTTCAACTATCAGGATGATCGATTATCTGGATCGCCTGGCGGGGTTGGACAAAAACAAAAATTTGCATTTTTCGGAGGTTTTGGCTGATTTAACCCACTCAGACTATCAGAGCACCATTCAAGCGATGCACAAGATCAAGAGTACATGAAACCTGGGTTTCATGTACTCTTGACAAGATGTATTACAACAGGTTGGAGTAACAAATAAAGATAGTGTCAGTCGGAGGAGCTGGAGTGCGCCCAGTTCCTGTTGTACTGCCGCAGAGATTGAAAAAATGATGAGAACATGCGGGAATATGCATGTTTTAGATAGATGTGTGACTGCTCCCTTATCCAAACATTCTTTTCATCCAAACCCCCTGTAGATTACTCCCGCCCCAAGGGGTGTGGATAATCAGCACTCTACTGTACTGAGTAGTGGGCTGACTTGACTAGTCAGTAGTGACTTGGTACTGGCAGTTGCACAAGTACTACACACACTACACAGCACCCCCAACCCAACACACACACACACACATACACACACGCCATCACCACTGCTGCGGCCACCACCACTACCACCACGACCAGCAGCAGCACACAGTGGAAGAACAGCAATAGAAGCGCCGGAAGTCTGGGACGTACTGAGTCACAAGTACATGTACGTAGTTAGTACAGTAAATAGTGGATACAACGTGCCCCTTTGATTTTCGATAATTTATCACTATATCCGGTGCATCACTATAGCCGATTTGCATGTACGACTGACACATGGCACATGAGTGTGCATGAGAAATGATGCGTACATGCTGGAAAAAGCATAAAAAACAGCCATGTGTACGTGTGGCTGCTTACAGCATACAGGGAAGAATTTTGTCTCAATCATGTCTGCTGCCAGATGCATCCAGGCAACAATGGATCAGTTTTGGAAGAAGTGAACTATATTGGAAGAACACTTGTTTTGTGATCATCACTCTTGATCAGTATATGCGATATTTTCCTGTGCATTTGATATGGTTTGCTTCCTGAAGCCCATCACAATAAGCGATACATCGGTATAGCCGATAATAGTGTGTATAGTGATATTTTAGCTGTATTTTTTGGTGATTTGATTTTGATTTTGGCGAGTTCTATCATTATAGCCGGTATATCGTTACACCCGGTCACTTTATAAACGATACTCACTGTAGTTGGGAACTTCCCGTATAACTTTCCTACCAGTAATCAGAGTCAGTTGAAAATCGAGCTACATGTGGCAATGAGGACAACACATAACAACCTCAAAGAACAAATTCCTAAAATAGTTAATAAAAAGCACATCAAAGTAGATGAAACTTACATCAATGGCTGTCCCTAAAAACACTAAAAATTCAAAATAAAATCTCAAGCTAGAAGGTACTTAGACACAACATAAACCTGTGCCACCGAACAGCAGTCAGACACTTGCACGAGCATGATTGTTTGTGACAGTCAAAGAAGAAAGAGTAGCAAACAAGGGGTTCACTAGTTGTCATGATGACATGATGTGTATTATACACATATCCCTACTAGCATAGATAGTAGTATGTAGTATGTAGTATGTGGGGCAGGTGTTTGTACTTGTGCTGTATGATAGCGGTACATGTCCTACTGCCCACAGTGACATAGTGCTGTCAAATTGTCAATGCACCTGTGCAGTGTAGTAGCTGCATGTAGCATTGCCTTCTGGCCACAATTCCAGCTATAGAACTGCCACAGTCTCAAAGGAATCATGTAACAATCTTATCTCAAGATATAATATTGCACAATCAGCAGATGGCCACCTTGAACTGTCTTTGAAAACAATACGCAGTGTGTGTCCACTCGGTACTTTCAAACGTGAAACGCAAGGTTGGTCCTCCGAATAGGCAACTATTTTCAGCATCCTTAATTCACACTTTGCATGAATACTGAGTGAAACCAGAAGTGCTGCAGCACAGGATAAACTTGCTCACTGTAAAACAGACGAACAGCCTTGGACGGGGTTAGAGCAGTACAACAGAGCCAGACTTGACCAACGCCTCAACAGCCCGATACGGCAACAAATGCTGAGTGCCCTTTAGAAGATCGACTGGATCTTCCCTGCAGGGACAGAGGTAAGCAAGTGCACAAAGTCATGGTGGTTGGCAACAGCCATGTAAGAACACAAATGAATGGATATAAAGCTCTCACAACAAGACACAAAATGCGCCCCAGCACTTGGCAGTGAATGTTTTTTGTTTGTGGCTTCAACAAGGATAACACGCAATGTACGAAGAAGGCGTACGAAGGTGTACGCTGATGCTTTGTCTGCGTTATGTCCCAACACACCACTTGTCTTGCTCACATCCTCAACCAGACCGGCGATGCACTGCGACAGCCTTTTGCAGACGTCAACAACTTCATTCGTCGCTTTAGTCAGATGCTCCTTGCAGGAGGAAGGAATGCACGTTTTCTGGCATTTCTGAAGGAAAAACGGCGAGCACGAGAATGAGACGATCAGGATGGCACCAAATCCGGTTGCAACAAGGTGGCATTGTTGGTGTGACTGTGTTGTTTATCATGCTCAGTGCATGCATCTCTAGACTGGCTCCATCCAAGCCGAGATGACCTTGTCCTCCCAGCCTCCTGCTTCTCTAAATGAGCTGAATGATATCCTCAAGAACAAAACATACGGTGACAGTGTCCAGATGCTTCAGCTTCAGGTCAAGTTCATCACTGAACACAGCAAGGCTTTCACTGTCCTCAACGACTTCTTTCAAAGCCAAAAGCCTTGTGTGCTGGATGGGTATCCAATGTAATCCAATGCACGTATCCAATGTGGGCCCTGATGCTGTAACTGGTGTATGCGAGAGTGAAGAGAGGGTGCTGGATCCTGTGATGTTCTGGCGATCTATTTTGGATAAGGTGCCAACTCTTTCCAAGCTTGCGCTGCGTTATTCATTTGCAGTGACCAACTCTGCTGATGCCAAGCGCAGCTTCAGTCTCTACAACCTGGTCTTCTCCGAGCGAAGGTGATCTCTCTAGCGGAAGTGTTATTGAAGGGACTCTCCCCCCCCCCCCCACACACCTCATCCGGTTTTGTTCTCCGCTCTGAACAGAGACACCCGGACGGTACGGAGATCGCTGGAGAGCGGTTAGAGTTTTGCTAGCTCCTGTTTTTTTGAATTTCTTGACGTGGTATGCGTTGATTTTCAGCTACTTGTTCATGGCAACGAGCGGAGGTAGCGCAGGTTCCGGCACCGGCCGGGCCGGTGTTGTCAATGCAGTGGCAATTCCGTCTGCAAAACCAACTGCAGTTGTCGAAAGAGAAATAGTCTGTGTATTCAATGTACTCCTGGAAGGAACTTGAGATGCAGAAATCGGCAAGACCAGTTAGCTGCTCCCGTACAGTGCAGTTCAAACCCAGCGGGGGTCACTACCGTACCTTCCGCCGTACCTGAGCCAGTCACTGTATCGCAACCCAGAGCCAGCAGTACTCCCGATCCCGTCACTACTGACACTAGCCAGCAGAGCAGCCTGAGCCATGACTCGCCAATCGTGAGCACAACCCGTACTGTCTCTGGTGCCAGTGTTGGGACCGGGCACTTAGCTCAGCCTACATCTGCGTCTGCTGGCGCAAGCCCACATGTGACCGTCGCAAGTGCATTCGACCCGTCAGCGGAAATCAACGACGACGATGCGCATACGGCTGGATCTACAACTAGTGCAAGTGCTAGTGGTGGAGTTGGAAGTCCGACCTCTGACCACAGTGTTGACCCAGCTCTGGCTGATGCCACCTCTGGCAGCCTTGCTGACGAGGTTCAACTTCTGGTAGGCCTCAGCGATACTCAGGTGGATGGCGATGGCGAGGCAGCCAGCGAGGCCCCCGAGTTACCACCCTTCCCAATTGCCCCTGGTGTAGGGTTCATGCTGGGACGCATGGATGCAGCTACCACCAGCCAAGCACTGCACTCGGCATACGACGAAGCAGTGCACTATATCCCGAACACGTTTGACGTCCCAAGTGGCGCGGCTGGGAGGGCCTTCATCAACCTCCTCAGTCAATACCTGGAGTGGTTTGGAAATGACGCGCCTTTCTCCGGGCAAGCATTGCAGATTGCAATGTTATTTCAACAGCTGCTACTTCAGAAGCCACACCAAGTGGCAGTCTCAGCACACTCTAAGTCTCTCCAGCGGCGACTGGACTCCTGGAATGATGGCGATCTTCCTCAACTCCTGAGCGAATGCCGCACCATTCAGCGCCAACTTCAACGGCACTACGAGCAAGCTTCCCAGAAGCAGAACAAGGATCCAGCGGGCAGATTTGCCAGCCTAGTCATCAATGGGAAATTACATTCAGCCCTGAGGCTGCTGACTGACCAGCCTGACAAAGGCCCAATGCGCAATGGAGTTGGATGACCGGGTAGGTGACAAGTCCGTGCTGGACATCCTGTGGGACAAGCACCCACCAGCAGAGCCATTGCAGGAGCACGCGTTGATCCCGGGAGAGCCACCAGTGCCTCCACATCCCACCCGCTTTGAGTCGCTGACACGTGCATTCATCCGCAAGGCTGCCCTTAACACGTTTGGCGCTGCCGGCCCCTCTGGCGTAGATGCAAACACGTGGCGCAGAATGTGCACAGGATTTGCGGAGGCCTCAGACCGACTGTGTGACGCAATGGCTAGCTGCGCCCGGAGACTCGCGACAAGCTATCTGGACCCAACATCCTTGAGTGCCTATGTTGCTTGCAGGCTGGTCCCCCTCGACAAGCAACCTGGGGTTCGACCGATCGGCATCGGGGAAGTCCTACGACGTATTCTAGGGAAGGCAATTCTCTATGTGATCGGCGATGACATCCGCGACGCAGCAGGAAGTTTGCTGCTATGCACAGGTCATGACAATGGCATAGAGGCAGCTATCCACGCCATGAGAAGCGTATATGAAGACCCTGAGTCCGAGGGCATACTCCTGGCAGATGCACGGAATGCCTTCAACAGCCTAAATCGTCAAGTGGGTTTGAGGAACATCCAGCATCTTTGTCCATCGCTGTCGCCATTGGTGACCAACACCTACCACCATCCAGCAAACCTCTATGTGGGAGGAGAGACCATCAAATCATCGGAAGGAACAGCACAAGGCGACCCCATTGCCATGCCTATCTATGCTCTGGGTGTCCTCCCGTTGATACAGGCTGTGGCTGTCGACGGAGCTACCCAATCCTGGTTTGCCGACGACTCGGGTGCGGGTGGGAAGCTTGTCAAACTTCGCCAATGGTGGGATCTCCTGGTCGAAAAGGGACCCAGCTATGGGTACTACCCGAATGCCGAGAAAACCGTCCTCAGCGTGAAACCTGAATTCTACGCAGATGCAGTCCAGATCGTTGACGGCACCGGTGTCACCATCAACACCAACGGTTGTCGGTATCTGGGTGCGGCGATCGGCTCCACCGACTTCACCACGGCGTACGCAGACGGCAAGATAGCCACATGGACACAGCAGGTCAAGCGACTGGGGGAGATAGCCACCTCGCAGCCACAGGCAGCGTACTCTGCCTTCACCCGCGGCCTCCAGAGCAAGTGGACCTTCCTTTGCCGCACCATACCCGGTCTCGCTGAGCAGTAAACGCTGCTCGATGATGCAGTCACCAACTGCCTTGTTCCTGCTCTCCTTGGCCGTCAGGTTAACGACACGGAGAGGGCAATGATTGCCCTACCATGTCGCCACGGCGGTCTGGGCCTGACACCTCCATCGTCAGTTGCCCAGCAACACGAGTCTTCAGTTCGGGTCTCTCAGACGCTGGCTGAATGCATTCTACAACAGGACTTTGAGCTGGGCAATGCCATTGCGCGCGTCCGGCAGGCAAAGGTGCAGGCCAGATCCGATACCCGGGATAGTGCTCGAGCTGATGCTTTGCTCCTCCGCTCATCGGTGTCGGCGGACATGCAGAGAACCCTGGATTTGGCAGCGGAAAAAGGAGCCTCCAGCTGGCTCACCTGCAGACCTCTTCGCTGTCACCGCTTCAACCTCAGGAAAGGAGAGTTTCGCGACGCTGTGTGCCTGCGGTACAACTGGCTACCTCCCCGACTTCCGACATCCTGTCAATGCGGGAAGGAATTCTCCGTGTCCCATGCCCTGTCGTGTTCCCTAGGGGCTTCCCAACCCTCCGGCATAATGAGATCCGGGACCTAACCGCCAGGGCATTGAAGCAGGTCGCCCATCAAGTTGCTGTGGAGCCCCACCTTCAACCACTGACAGGGGAACAGCTACGGTACCGGTCTGCCAACACCGATGACCAAGCCCGGCTAGATGTGGCAGCAAGGGGCATTTGGGGTGGGCGATTCGAGCGCACCTTTGTTGATGTTCGGGTGTTCAACCAACATGCGTCCTCGAATCGCTCCAACTCGCTTGCTATGTCAAACATGAGCGGGAGAAGAAGAGGGCATATGAGCAGCGGGTGCGCATTATCGAACATGCCTCCTTCGTCCCAGCCGTCCTGTCCACCACTGGGGGCATGAGCAGATGCGCCACTGCATTCTACAAGAGAATTGCTAGTCTGCTAGCTGAGAAGACCGCCGAGCCCTACAGCAACGTGATGGCCAACCTCCGCTGCCGCTTGAGCTTTGCATTATTGCGTGCCAGCGTCATGTGCCTCCGTGGGGCTCGCAGCACATTCACAGCTCACCTCACTGCTGATCCTGTCTCTGCTGAGGTTGTTGTTGCAGAAGCTGGCGTTGCCCGTTTTTAATATTATGGGCATGTGTTTCTGTGGAGAAGGCGGAGAGCCGGAACGCAAACAATATTCCTTTATCATTTTTGGTCATCTTTTGTATTTTCATGACATGATTGTATCGCAATTTCAAATTTGGACTTATTTTCAAAGTGTTAGGAAATTTGAGGCCACATGCCGGTTCGAGTCCCGGTGGTGTGACTGATGATTTTTTCTTTCTTTCATATCTGGCTTGCAAGTGTTCAGTTTCGGAGAGAAAAGAGCAGTACGTGGCATGTGGCCTCAAATTTCCTAATGATTGTATCGGTTTATTAATTTTGCCCGTACAAGAGGCTTCGTAATGTTAAAAATAAAATAAAAAATACGCCGGCCCATCAGGCCTAAATGCTGTCGCCTGGCACCGCATGTGCACCTCCTTAAATGCCGCATCCGATGATCTATTTTTTTTACGAGAAACCACGAACCTCGAGAACAGAATACTGCATGATAGAGGTGGTTGCAGACGCAACTGTGGTGGTGAAACTGGAGCATCTCCGCCGACCTGAGGTCTCGGCTTCAGCGACACTTCAGTGCACCAAAAACTGGGGAGGAGTAGGCACAGGGGGAGGGGAGGGGGTACATTTATATAGAGGAAGGAAAAACGGAAAGATGATACATGTGATAGAGGAAGAAAAAGATAATAATAAAAATAAAATAAATAAAATAAAATAAAATAAAAAAGGGGGAGCCTATGTGATGCCTTAGCCAGCTGCGCCCGACCCATCTCAGCCAGCTACGTCGAGCCAGCAGCCCTAGAGGCCTACACTGCTAGCTGCCTCATTCCACTTGACAAACAGCCCGGCGTCTGCCCAATTGGAATTGGTGAAGTCGCTCGCCGCATCATCGGCAAAGCAGTAATGCGCGTCGTCGGCCCGGCCGTGGAAGTGGTGACCGGGTGCCTACAACTCTGTGGAGGTCAAGAGTGCGGTATTGAAGCAGCCATCCATGCCATGCGGTCTGTTTACAACGACCCTGAAATATAAGGAGTTCTTTTTGATGACACATCGAATGCATTCAACCGCCTGAACAGGAATGTTTGCCTTCAAAACATCAGTCGCACCTGTCCTGAGTTTGCCACCATCGCTATCAACACCTACCGGTCATCATCACGCCTGTACGTGGACAGCGAATCAATCCCTTCATGCGAAGGCACGACCCAAGGGGACCCTCTGGCCATGGCTATGTACGCTCTTGGCACAGTCCCATTGATTCGGAAGGTCGCAACCCCGGGCGCAATCCAGGCATGGCCACCGTCGGCCCAACAACCAGTTTAGCGATGCGGCAGCGTCCTCAGCCTCGTTGGCTGCTGCTGAGTGTCAGCTGTCGCTGTAACTTTCTTTCCAGTCTCTCCGTCTATCCTGTTGATTGTCTGGGTTTTTTGGTATCCTTTCGGCGTTCTCTCTTTCTGTGGCTCTCCCACCTATTACCTTTTCTTCCTTCATTGAGTTCTAATCTTATTACCGGTATAACTTCTGAAGTCACTGTCCTATTTCGTCATTGTGCAGATGATACCCTTGCTACTGTTTTTGGTATTAGTTTCACTTTGTAAGTTCAACTCAAAGAACCTAGATATTCCCGTGTGCTGTGTTATCCAAAGTGAAAACAAATTAATCATTATGTTGCATTTTGTACGTACCGTATTTCCCCGATTATAAGTTGCATCCCCACTTTCAGGTCTGAGCCATATCGTTTCAATATGTTCACATACCGTAATGTCGCGTATAAAAGCAGGTGCTTACGGCCGTATACGCCGATGTCAGTGCTAGTCTTCTATTCAAACCACGTATCTCTATGTATGTCGATACTAAAACCAGGCTTATGTGCTGACAGCGTATCTTAAAAATCAGGCTTGTATTCAGAACAGGCTTCTATACAAGACACTACAGTAAGTAGGATATCACATTGGATTGTAAGTTGCACCTTGTGTTCTTTGCCCTTGAAGCTTAGTTAAAAAAGGTGCACATTTGGCAAAATATGGTACGTTTTGCGGCTGACAAGATCCAGTTGCAGATACACTACTGCAGTTTCTGCAAATGTACTATACCAGGCCCGCGATTTCCCCCTCTTTTCGCAAAAACCTCTTGCCCCCCCCCCCGCGATTTTCCACGGGGACAGAGCAGTACATGTATACAGTGGACCTTGCGAATAACGACCCTCGATCCTGCATGCAAAGTGTCTTCATCCATGGGTTGTCGCAATTCTCGAGGTTAAAAAAGTATGCAGTCAAATCAAGTTGAAATGATTACTATGTCTGAAGAATGTCTCGTTATTTGCGAGTACTTGTAATACCCGAGGTCGTTCATTATTCACCAAGTTGACTGAATATTCTCTGTCAGGAACTTACTCTTCATCGATAACAACTCCCATTACGTCTTCAGCTGCTTTCAAGAACACATAGCTGTTGGTATTGGGTGCAATAGCTGTGAGACAACATAATACAGGTCAAAAGAAAATATTTAAAATAACAGAACACTTAGGAACTTAGGAAGAGGACACATTTCTGGCTCTTCACCAATAACATTAAAAAAAGTTTCCAACAACAATATTATCAAGTGTTGCTAGTCAAGAGCCAGAAGTTTGCCCTCTTCCTAAGTTTTACCGCAAGCACTGGTATTTACTTAATCTCTGGACAGCTAGCTGTTTCAAGGCTTGTCAGGTCTCATCAGCGGCAGAGCTCAGAATAACTGGCCAGACTGATCGCAAATACTATTTTACACATGTGTTGAAAACAGGAAGAACTCAATAGAATCTGACTACACACTCTGCCATCACTGGCAGTACTAAGCACTGCGCACTCTAATGGAATCATCCTGGTGATGTAAAAAGGACATACGTGCACATTTCCGCAAATAAGACAGGACAGGAAGTCGATGAATGTCTATCGTGCAGTACATGTACTTTCTCTACCTTACAATGCTCAGGGTTCTCTTGCGCTCAGCACTATCTCTTATCTAAATGTCTGTCTTTCTTAGTGAGGAATGAACCAATCTGTACCCATCACAGAACTACAGTACTCATTCCTGTAGCATGCTCATATTGCAGATACGGATGGTGTACAGAACTAGCCAGCAATCTCATCACTCTTGCTACACACCAGGGTCAAACGAAACAGACTGATATAGACATCTCACCAATGCCAACACATACACCAGGCGATTCACTCTGCAGCCCTGCCAGGGGACACACTGACCTGCTTTTTCCGTGTCTAGTTGCTTGGCAGCCTCTAGAGGCATGTGCCGCAGGACAAGACTCTGCATCAGTTCGGCCATATTGTCCGCAAATCTGCACAGTAGAATCAAGCGTACACATACACATGCACACAGAGGAACGCACACGCATAAGCTAAACAGGAGGTTATGGCTGCTGAACTAGTTGGTAGACTGAATTTGTCACAATGCCTTCCATATAGAGGACTCCTATATTTCTTGCACAGCATGAGCAAGCAGAACAATCAGCACTTTGACCCATCTGACACTGCACTCATGGGGAAATTGAAATTGATAGCTCAAAAAGCATGACCAATGTAAACCAGGGAAGAAAGAAAGGCCTGTGATTTTCACCTTCCCGTGGGTACGATCATGCACTCATGGGAGAAGGGTCCACGTTCTCCTTTGTTTCGCACGCGCACATTCGGCTCTCATACAGGAAGATTCCCTGGCCATGGCGAATTTCCAGTAAACGCAGATTAGCCGGTTGTGTGAACCATCTACAGGTTTCTTGCAAATGTCAGAACAAGCCATCACTAGTATCAAGAGTACACAAACCAGAGTGTGCAGCTCCGCATGTATGCCGCATACACCGATCCCATCACGAAGTTTTTTGTTTAGGCCATCATGAATCATAGAAAACCCGTCATAGCGTAGGTTCAGAGCTAAGTCACCGACCGTATTACTAAAGCGATGATGGGAAATTCGCATGCGTTTTTCACCTTTTGTACGACAGGCAGCAATGTGCAACAGAAATTACCTTGGTGATACTGCAAAAATGACCACGTGTACTGGTGCGAGATGAAGCAAAGGCCAACAAAAACTTAACAGAGGGATGATTCTCCCAGAGCTGCTGCACACTAGTTTATGTACCCTTGCGAGCACACTACTATGGAAAATTGTACGCATAAAAATAAAATAAAAAATCGACCACGCCAGGATTCGAACCTGGAATCTCCTGATTCGTAGTCAGGCGCCTTATCCGTTGGGCCACGCGGCCATCGACAAGAGCAAGAGTGACAGGTAGCAAATTTACATGCTGCACACCCTGCCTTTCTCCTTGGAGAAGCAGCAAACGGCTAGTCTGCAACCGAGAAAAGTGGAGAGGATGGGTGAGCTCAAGAGTACATGAAAACCAGAGTGTGCAGCTTGGGGCCTTTTCTGCTATGGGTGTCTGTCACGGCGAAATTCCGTGATTACATCATATTTGGCCCAGATCTGAGGCGGGAAGTGGCGTAGTGCGTACAACTGAGCTGCAGTTGTGCAGAAAGAGACCTGCTTGAATCCTGCTTGTACGCACTACATCACTAAAATGATGTAATCACGGAATTTCGCCGTGACAGCAACCCATCCGAGCTGCACACTCTGGTTTTCATGTACTCTTGGTGAGCTGTATTCAGGGACTTCATCCATTACCACCTCAGCGCGGCGCTAATCTGCGCAAACATGTACGCGTGGCTGCCGGTCCCAGTTTGCAGACTTCAGACACACCAAGAAGAAGTTTGAGGTGAACCCTTGCAGTGATCCACTCTGAGAGTGTTTCTCAAGGATCTTCTGCAGAAACAAGCCGGCAATGCTGAGAAGCTGGCACGGTGTGGAACTTCAAACCCCAGTGAAGCCCTCAACAACACTTTCTCATCGCCGGCGCCTAAATATCTGCACGCCAGTGGATCAGAGTGGTATGACTTTCGGCTTGGTGCTGGTGTGGCAAAGAAGAACCTGGGCCACAGCTATGTCCCCACAGTACTGTGCAGTGCCGGGCTGTCTCCTGGCAAGCATACAAACAAATTGGTTCAAGCTGAAGAGTGCACAAAGGTCAGAGAGCAAAAACAAAGTCTCTAGCATCCTAGCCAAACCATACTTCCAATGCACAATCTTTGCTTCTGAGACTTCTCACACATGTCCCGGTCCTGCTGACTTCATTTGTATTGGAAATGTATAAAAGCAGATGAAAACTGGGGCATGACAATCAGGATGACAAAAGTTTGCATATTTCACTAAATATAGCACATTTTCTGACCTGTGAGCGCCGCACCCCCCCCCCCCCCCCCTCCCCCTCAAGTGTCTAAATAGGTACCTGCAAACATTATGACTGCTCTTCCACAGAAAGAACCTATCAGGGAGAAGAGGATATGGCAGCAAACATACTGTTTTGCATAAGTAACTTCTTCCGGTGACAGCAACGGGTCATCATTTTCACCAAGTTTAGCTTGCCGGTCCAGTAAGTACAGTGGATGCTGCTCAATCTGCAATTACCACACACATACACACACGCATGCGCACGCGCACACACACACATACACACACGCACATACAGTTGTGGCAAGTGAAATCCGACACTTGGCATAAGGGACTGCACCATGCAGTCTGCAGCCCCTGCAGCCCTGCATACGTACAGTACATGTGCTACATACAACTTTATCTGTCTGATGACAAAACTCGTACTCATCACAGTCAATGTTCAAAAGGTGCTGGCAAAAATGAATGGGGATTGGATACCAACACTCCTTATGTGTACCATGTTTGTGAACTGTGTGTATCTACGCTGTGACCTTTCGATCTGTTTGGGATGCATACGTCTATAGTACAAATTAGGTGCAGTGCATTACATCATTGGTATCCATTTATGGCGCTGTCCCCTATGGCAAGTGTCGGATTTCACATGCCACAACTGTACATACACACACACACACACACGCAGAAACCAAAGTTCATCTTTGTGCACTAAAACACACTTCCTCTTGAGAACACCTCTATGCAGGATAAAGCAGTAAGCTGCCTACAGCATTGAGTACTAGTATTTGAAGTATATCACTTCTGAATGCTAGTTTGGAAGAGTATCGTAGCTTTTTGTAGAAAATCCTTGGTTGTTTGCATTATTGTAGGAATTCCACAGTAACCTTGTATTCCAGGACATTGGTTGCCACAAACACAAACGCTAGTACTCACTTTATGGACTCTGGCACGCAGGTAGCTTGCAATCAGGAAGCGGATACGTTCAACCTCTAGTTGTAGCAGTGTGATCTTGATATCGCCTTGTGCACACTTTTGTATTACATCATCCTGCATAGTGTAAGACAAACGCAACATATCATACTGACTGCCTTGAAACAACAGCAAGATTTTCAAGATTTTGTGCATGTCCAAACCAGTCACACTACATTTAGGGCAATACACGTGTCTAGATGTAACGTCATGCGCGGCAGAAATAAATTCTGTTCTCAACCAGACATTTCCCCAAGTTACAGTAGAAGTAAAGGGTGCTGTCCTGCATGTCATGTGGCTGTCAAGAAGCGGGCTCAGCAGGGAGAGACTGAGGTGTGACTGGACCTGTGGTCAACTTCGTCCCTCTTGATATTTGTACTTTGTACTATTGAGGCAACGAACTGAAATAATAAAAACCAACTTAACCAGTGCACAGTACTACCTTGCATCCATGTACCACGATGCATGCCAAACAAGCATCGTAGTTACACTCAAAACGCGATTCATAGCTAGCTAAGACGTTGCAACTTCGGTGGTAATATGTGAAGACCGTGGCTGCTCCAAACGTTGAAGATTGCATTTCTCGCCAACTGACTTGACACTTGACCGACTCATGACTTGCTGTCTGGAGCACATGAGCAGCACACTGAACCTTCCTAGGCAAACTTCCACTAGGCAAACCGGCAAGAGAGCACCACCCCCTGCTCAATACACGGTGTTTCGTGGAACCCCTCAGCAATTCAGCTTGAGCAGGCCAATGAAGTTTACGCTGCAGGAGCATTACGATTGATAGTGCGCTTGCAGCCCAAACATCACCAGGGATACCAACTTACAGCGCGAGCTCTTACGTTTGGAGCAGCGTTGTTGTCCCTGGTGCGAGAATGAGACTAGATGATTGGAGGTGACAGCATTGTGAATGGTGAATAACCCCAAGCGTCTGTTCTCACAACTCCATGTGTGACCCTGGCTCATGCTGCTGCTGGTGCCTACGAGGTGTTTGTCGCTATGGAAACAGAGCGTCACTGTAAGTTAGTATCCGTAGTGATGTTTAGGCTCAGAGAGCATTGCATAACTTGTAGTGCTCCTACAGCATAAATTCTATTAGCCTACTCAAGCTCAACTTATATTGGGTGAATGGCCTGAAACACCGTGTAGTGAGCAAGGAGTGGCGCTTTCCTGCAGGCTTGCCGAGTGGAAGGTTCGACATGCTTCTTGTGCGCTGCAGACGGCAGTCGTGAGTCAGTCAAGCATCAAGTCGGCGTCAGGAAGCGGAAGTTCCAACGCTTAGAGCAGCCAACTTTCTTCACATGAGTTGGAATTGTTTGACATAAAGTACATACCTGCTTAGGGACCATCGCAAAAGTTCGCAGAAGCCCCCGAAACGAAGACCGTTAGTTTCGGGCCTGACCCCCCTCCCTCCCCCCTCAAACGAAACGACAGTCACAATATGGGCTTCATTATTTCACTTGGATGCTCACACATAATAATTATTATAATACCGTACTGGCAATATATGTTGCCGCGTAACGCGTAACGCAGGGGGGTGCGGCGTAACGCGCGACCAGGCTAGTGCGACAAATTTTCGTTGAGTTCGTAACGCGCGTCCGGCGGGGTGCGGCGATCTTTTCATTGCAGTTTGCACTGCAAAAAAAGGCTGAAAACTGTGAAAGCACGTGTACCGCGTAGTGAAAAGTTCAAAACTGGACGCAGCAGGAAGTCCTGACACTCGAAGGCGCATCATTCAGTGGTTGGCGATCTCAATGGTTTCTTCTTTCCCGAGGTCGTTTTGCGAAGAAGAGCGATGTGTTTACCAGTTTCCTTGTGACAATGCAGAAGTCTCTATTCGCCTTCGGCGTGAAGAAAATCACGCCCAAGGAAAGTGAAAAAGGAAAGGATGAGGAGAGAAAGGAGATGAAAAACAGGATTGCTCCTGATGGGGCAAAGAAAGCAATAGCAAAAAAAGGACTGCGGCAATATAGAAACCTGTGTAACGGCTCCTGTGCGACTTTGCATGTAACGCCCTGCGTGCGGCAAACATGTGCCAATGTAACGCTTCATGGCCTCACTGCGGCAACATATATTGCCAGTACGGTATACTACACAGCAGGGGTTCATAAACCCTATGAACCCCTGCTAGTACTAGTACTAGCAAGAGTCCATAAACCACGCGTTTTATGGACTCTTGGTACTAGACTACACACAGTGTACAGGCAGCCAGCTACGTGACATGCGCAGTTGCATGAATGGACTACGCGTCCTGACAAGCAATCTACGCCGGCTGTGATGGCATGCTAATCTATCAGCTCCTACATGTCGTCAATACTTTTTTGAATTGAAGCCCGGTTTGCGATTTTCGACACCGACTCCCCCCCCCCCCCCCCCCCAAACGTATGCTGTTCGTTTCAGGGGCTTCTGCGAACTTTTGCGATGGTCCCTTATGTGAGTCGGGCGTGGGGCTTGTGAGGCCAACATTTCTCACAAAGTGTCGGAGTCGTGGTGACGCCTGGTACCGTTCAGGTTTCAACAGGTCACATTACAGGACTGCACTTTGCGTGCATTCATCGAGCACTACACCTGTAGCCATGCATGACTGCCTCAAGCTCCATACATGTGCATGACTCATACCATAATACGATAAGGTCAAGTGTCTGACCGCCAACACGTACTCATTAGACTACGTCACGCATTCACCATTGACAGTGTTGCTTGTACTCCCTATACACATCGACGCTTGCTTATACATGTAGCTGTGTATTCTTTGTTCTACAGTCAGTTCTAGCTAGGTTCTTGATAGGTTTTGCTAGGGCATTGTTAGAGTACATCCAAGATAATCCAAGATGGAGTTGGTGTTTTTTGAGAGTGAGAACTCGAACCAGTAAAGTTTGTCTCCATTGTTGAACGTGGGTTCGGAAAGTATCCGCAGTCGGTATTACAGTTACGGTACTGATGCAACCTGGTTCCGGGGAATACGGAACATAGTGGTCCTTCAAGCCGGATCACGTCCACGATGGAGAAGCTCAGGCGGAGTCAGCGCACGACGAAAGGCGTCGCAGCGCCAAAACTCGGGTACACAGACACCCAGTCCTACGCTGGTGCTAGTGGTGGAGATGACAGGATGACCGAAAGTAGGAGCCAAGCCGTCACCGCGAATTCAGCTGACAGGCTCAGCGCCAGGATAGCCGTGTTACAAGCGGAACAGGCTGTGGCGGAAAAGCGGCTGGAAATCGCCCGGTTGACGGAGCAGGCGATGTCGGAAGCCGAAGGGACGTTGAGGGAAAGGTCCGTTGAGACCTCCAGCTCTCCTGCGATGCGAGAAGAAGTCTTCCAGGAAGCGGGTGAGTTGCATGAGGCGGTTGCAGCCCAAGATACGTCGCTTATCGACTTTGACGATGATGTAGTTGCACCTAGTTCAGTTGCTGTTCCAACACCAACAGAGTCACACACGGTAGTCGGTGTAGAATCTCAGCCATCAGAAGGAGAGGCTTCCCATAGATCTACGCACGTAACGTCAGAATCAGCAGTAGGTCTACACCATGCAGAGGCCTGTCAGGCTAGCACACCACCACCGGTAGACGTAGTGATAGACGCACATGTAGAGAGGGACTCAGATGTCCAGCATGTCCGTGCATTCACTCCGGCACACAGCTACCACTACCAGGCACCGCCATGCGTAGTCCAAGATCCGATTCATGAACACCTGAATGAACCTCCGTTTCATCAACCAGAACCGCAGGCACAGGCACAGACACAGGTACTTCAAAGAACGATTGAACACACCACTGCTGTTGTAGCCGATGCCACTTACGCTGACTATCTAAGCGAGTCCATTCAGCGGGGAATAGGGCCCGAGCCCTGGGATAGGACATTCGTAGAGCGTCAGCAACTGCCGAGATCCAGTACTGGCAGTAGTCTACGCAGTGTAGAACGTGAGTTCCGGGCCAAGAAAGTTGCGTATCAGCAGCAACTACTACAGCTTCAGACGATGATCGATGAATCCGCGATCGTCGAGAAGCGGCGCCAGCGAGACGCTTACGCACTGCAGACGAACCTAGAGGAAGCTGAGGCGAGTAGGGCAATGGTCGAGCTAGCGTGCGACAAGCAAGCCAGGGATCTTGCGGCAGAACGAGAACGCAACGATGAGCTGGCCCGATCGATGACAGAGCTGAGGCAGCGGCTATTCGCAGCGGAGTATGCCCTACGAGAAAGCCGTGCCAGACAACGACGAGCGCCGAAGTCTGGTAGTGTCACTGAGCCTGTTAGAGAAGTACAAGGCTTACCGGTAGTGCAACCACAGCCTGCACAGGTCCACGAGGAGAGACGTGAGCGCTGCGAGTCGACCGCAAGCACAAGGCATAGCGGTATCCCGAGCACTACGTCACCCAGTCACCCACACGCATCCATGCCAGTACCCGCACCACGAAAGCACCGTCGCGACACGAGTGCACGTGCACGCGGCTACATGACAGTCTCAGACTCCGACTCAGAGTCAGGGCCACGTGGATACTCTAGTGCCAGAGCTACGGAGACGTGTACCGGTGGTAAGGGCGCAGCAAGTAATGCGAGTGAGGTCGAAGACGCGTACATGAGTGGTTGTACCTCTACTACCGGTACTATTACTGGCAGCACAGTTAACAGCAATCCTGCGCGTCAGATGGCAGACCTGGCCAGTGAGTTTGTAGGTGCAATCACCCAGGCCCTACCTCAAGGGCAGACCTCCCAGGTCGAGAATAGTAACGCTGGCATCAGACAGCTGGCTGCACGCCAGTCATCCACCAGCAGCAAGCTGCCAATCTTCTCTGGCAAGCCGGAGGAATGGCCCGCGTTCCTCGCGCTGTACCGAAGCAGCACGGAGCAATGCGCATACTCAAACGCAGAGAACGTCCAGCGCCTGCAGACCTGCCTGAAGGGACCAGCCCAGGAGGCAGTACAGCTGCTCCTGGCCGTGCCAGACAATGTAGACGAGGCCATCCGGACACTGGAGCGTCGTTTCGGCCGGCCGGAATTGGTAGTGAAACAGCTAATCGAGCAGGCCAAGGCGCTGAAGCCAGCCAGAGCAGAGGACACGGACGCCCTGCACT